AACCCGAAATTTCTTTCGAAACCCGAAGGCAAAGTTCCTGGGTGTCTCCTGGAAGCAGAAAGAGGATATTCTGTTCATCGACACCACGGACACCGCTTCGTTCTTTCGAAACAATCCTCCCACGAAGCGTAATCTCCTGAAAGCGCTGAGTCAAATTTACGACCCGCTGGGGATCATCGCCTCAATTAGCATCAACTTCAAAATCCTCACTCAGACCCTTTGGACGAGGAAAATTGATTGGGATGCTATCCTGGACCCCGAGACGGCATCCGAGTACAGAAGAATCGCCGGTTTTCTCGACGGTTCAGACAGGATTGCCATCAGACGAAACATGTTTGGCACAGCGTCTGGAGGCTCCAGGAGAGAAATCCATGTGTTTGCAGACTCCAGTCTCAAAGCATACGGAGCAATCGCTTACTTAAAGGAAACAAACGTTAACTCCCCATCAGACAAATGCTCAGTTTCTTTTCTGATGGCAAAGGCCAGAGTAGCGCCGCTCAAAGGTCACTGGACCATCCATCGCCTAGAATTGATGGCAGCGGTTATTGCCTCAAGGATGGCTAACCATCTAAGAAACAGCATCCCTGAAAAAATCGACGAGATCTTCTTGTACTCAGACAATTCAGCCGTGCTTGGCTGGCTGAGAAGCTCCCCTGAGAAGTGGAAACCTTTCGTGGCCAACAGAGTCAAGGAGATCCTCGGGTACTCATCGCCTGACAGATGGAGCTACATCCAGTCGGAAGAGAACCCAGCAGATCTTCTCAGCAGGGGCTCGGCTCTTGAAACCGATAGCCTCAAGCAATTCTGGTTGGAGGGACCCTCCTGGCTTCGAGACAACCGATCTCAACGTTCGCACGTTCTGAACGCGCCTAGCGAGTCGGAAGAGATGTTGCGGGAAAAGAAAGTGGAAATAACGGCAGCGGTCGCCTCTCGAGTACAGGACGAGTCAACCTTCTCCAGTAAATTCTCCTCTTGGGCGAAACTCGTGCGTGTTACTGCTTTCATGCGGAGATGGCTTCCAAAAAATCGAAACAAGTTCAAGAGCGGTGATAATTCAATCACTCCGGAAGAATTCATGGAGGCAGAAATCGCTGTAGTCAAAACAATCCAACGCCAACACTTCGCGGCGGAGCTTGATGCCGGCGCCTCCAATTTATCAAAGGCAAGCGCGCTGAAGACATTGAATCCATTCGTAGACGACAGCGGCATTCTACGCTGTCGCTCGAGACTCGAGAAGTCCTCCAACATAAATTACGAGGTCAAGTTCCCGGTGATTTTACCTGGGAAAGATTCTCTTGTTCAACTTCTCATCCGGTCGATTCACGAAACCCAGTGCCTTCATTCAGGCGGCACGGCGGGCGCCTTACACGCTTTGAGACAGCGATTCTTAATCTTGAGCGCGCGCCGAGAGGTGAATAGAGCCATCCACGGATGTAAAGTGTGCGCTCGCTTCAAAGCGAAAGCCGCCGCAGAGCCAATGCCTCCTCTCCCGGCCTTCCGCATCGAAGAATCTCCCCCGTTTGCCGTAACCGGCGTAGACCACGCGGGTCCGATTTACATAGAAAATGCGGCCGGGGAGAAAACAAAATCATACATATTACTATTTGTTTGCGCGGTTACCAGAGCTCTCCGCCTGGAACTCGTGGCAGATCTCTCCACGTACGAGTTTCTCTTGGCTTTGAGGAGATTCATGAGTAGGAACCCGTCAGTTAAGCACATAATCTCCGACAACGCGCGGACTTTTCTGAAAGCGGAAAAAGAACTGAAGTCGCTCTTCGAGAAAGCGAAACACCCGGATTGCCAATCACTCTTGTCCAAGAAGGGCATGAAGTGGTCTCACTCGACGGAACGAGCTCCGTGGCACGGAGCCTTCTGGGAAAGATTAGTACAGGTGGTAAAAAGGCCACTGCGGAAAATCCTAGGGATCCACGCGCTGCCTTTCAGGGAGACAGAAACGCTTCTTTTCGAAATAGAGAAAATGGTCAACGACAGGCCGATTTCAGCCGTCGTGGTCGATCCCGATGAGCCTCGAGCACTGTCCCCCTCATGCCTGCTATACGGATACGCTAGCCAACCGTCCCTTCCGGACACAAAAAAGGTCCTCGCGCAATCCTCCGAGGCTACGAGCATAGTTTTCTCGGAGCGTTGGAAGAGGCAACAGGCGGCCCTCAGATCATTCTGGAAACAATTTCAAAACGAATACCTACAGCATCTGAGGTCGCTCCACTATGCTAAGTTCCAAAATTCGCGACCCATCAAGAAAGGCGATGTCTGTATACTACACTCAGCAGAAGCGTCACGGGCCTTCTGGCCACTCTGTATAGTCCAGGAAGTTTTCGGCGGGGAGAGCACCGACTCGCGTCGGAGGTCATGCCTAATCAAAACGAGCTCAGGTCAAATTCTCGAGAGACCTATACAGCTCCTGTACCCGCTCGAAATCAACGAATTCTAAAAAATTCACTCGTCTACTCCGTACAGTCTCCCGAATCGAAATCAATACTCACAAAATTTCTCGTTCCACGCTTTATTGGGGATCGAGCCCCTGAATCACGGCAGCCTCCGCGATCCGCGCCAACAGCGCGGATAGGACACGGAGGGTGCCCTCCTGGTCCGGCTCGTGCCGGACCCACCGGGACATCGACTGTGCCCACACCATATTTGCGGACCCCGCCTGGGCCCACATCCTCCTTGCGAGGACCTCCTGGTCCTCGTCGCTCATCTCCGCCGCGCCCGGCACGTAGTTCTGAACGTACAACCAGTAGATCCACGTGGGTGAATTTCGGAAATTGCAGACGCGAGGCATGACTCTCGCGACGTACAACGATAATGTGTGATCGACCGTAGAGATCGTAGTTAATTCCGCACATTGCTCGCCCTTTCCCAAGCCGTTATTAGGTCAAGACGGTAGATCAATGTTTAGAGATATGTACGTCAAGGAGACGAAAACGTGAAATTGTAAATGTTATTAATTAAGTTCTTTCGCCCGGGTGTGTCACGGATACTCCGTTGGCACCTCAATAAAGCTCGAGTGGTGGCGTCTTGGTCGGGTTTCCCTCTTACCCCCGAATCCCTCTCGCCCTGTGGCTATCTAGAGATTCGGCGGGAACGTGCAATCACTCTCACGCAGCCCCTTCATCGCGTTGCACGCGATCCCGATCAGGAAGGAAATCACCCCTCGAGTCTCACTCGAAATCCGTCTTTTCTTTTCCTTTCCCCTCGTGAGAACCGGAAACAACCGTAAATAACAGCATATACTGAAGATGAGAATGGATTGAATGAGAGAAAGAACGCACCAATCAATGAGGAAAACTGAAGTTTATTCATTCAGCCCTCGGAATCATACTCCGAATCATCACCCAAGTCCAGGTCGGCTCTGGATGCGAGTTCATCGTAGGACTCCTGGTATGGCTCTGGGATGTACTTGCGGAGGCTCTGAATGTCCGCAAGTTTTTGTTCTTTGATCGACACCCCTCTCTCTCCGTATGAAGATGTCGTAGGGAGTGCCGGGGGCACAGCCGTCTTGGCCAGCAGGAATGTGATCCCCGAGCATCAAGCATCTCCGCTGTGAAAGTCGGTCGGGTATCCATGCCTTGCGGTTCCCCCAATGCGCGCCTCGGGATGGCATTTCGAATCACCCGCCATTCGAGAAAAAAATCATTGGCGTTTGAATCAATGTTAAGTCTATGGGGATTGGACCATTCTTAAAACGCCCGTAGAATTTGATTGAATAGAGCTATAGGGTCGTGCGGCGCCTCGTTGGAAAGCTGAGGACCTGGGCTACATTCAAAAAAAGACAGCCTCCTACGATGACTCTGGACGTTTCTACAATGTTTTTGAGGGAAGTGAAAAACCCCTTCTGGAAAACTCCGAGTCAATGTCAAGTCCATGGGTATTGGCCCATTCTTAAAACGCCCGTCACTTTTGATTGAATGGAGCTATAGGGTCGTGCGGCACGTTGTTGGAGAGCTGAGGACCTGGGCTGCATTTTGAAAAAAAACAGCCTCCTACGATGACCCTGGACGTTTTTACGGCGAGAGAAAGATTCTTGAATTTGGGAAAAACGTTTATTTTCAAAACATCGTAAGTCCAAAGACTCATTTCTCCGTGTGCAGCCACAGAATGAGAGGGAGGGCGGTGTATTATTTTTTTTCTGAAAGCTCTCACCAAGAGCTTTCGAAAGTGGCCCCACAAGCCAGGGTCGGTATCCTGTGGGATACGCTACAGGAGAGGGGGGATTGTTTTTTGGTGTTTTTCCAGAGTGGAGTTACGATGTTTCGAAAATAAACGATTCAATTAGTACTTGAGCGCAAATAGGCGGCTCGCCCTCGCGGGGCTGAAGTCCTCCGGAAGTGTGATAAACCTGACCGTGAACGCGAAAGCAATACGGGCCGAATCCTCGAGGCGTCTCAATTTTCGCCGTCATTGAGGCCATGGCCAAGGCATTGTTGTAGTTCCGTATATTCTGTCGGAAATGTTTTGACTGTTCGTCTTGATCCGAATACAGCAACCGCAACACCGCGGGAAAATCTTGGAATCGAGTCAATCAGACCTTGTTCGAAGCACAGCACATGGCATACGCAGTGCGTCCGCGAGTGGTTTTCTCGGCAGCGAAATGGGCAGCTCCGCAGCCAGTGCAAATATCGTCCATTCCTCCCAAACTGGGGGGACTGGAGGGACGGTTGTGTGTCTGTCGAGCGATACCGAATTTCCGTGGCATCCGTCGATTGCTTTCCGCGAGATGATCGACAATCACCTCCCGTTCGCCTTCGATGTCAATGCGATCCTCTACTATCGGGACTTCGCGAGAGATGCGATCCTCTGTCCTGAGTGTCTCAGTAGAATAGCCATC